AACAAGCTGGCTCGTGGAGAAAAGATGGGCAAGTGAATGTTTGAGTTCCTGGTAGAGCATAAAGGAGGAGGTGTGAGCCTGCCCTTCCCGGTGCTGGCACACCCCAGACGGGAGGAGCTTATGAATACGGTGTCAGTGTGTGGTGCTCTGAGAAGACACAAAGAGTGTGTTGGAGACTCTGTCCTTGAGAAGTTCAGAAGATAATGGAGGCGTAGACGCCCACACATGACTAATAAGGGCATGGACAACCCAAACCAACCAGGCAGAAACCACACACATACATTCAGGGAAAGGATGAGCGGCTGTTGAAATGGAACAAGTCACGGAAGCCGAAGGAGGAGCTCAAAGATTCCTGACTGTGAATGAGACACTGGGACCAGAATGAAACTGGAATAGGTCCATGAGCCATCCTGTGAGGGCAAAAGTGATCACCAAGGCATCATCAGATGGCATCCACTGACTAAGTTCATATGCTTAATATGCTAGGCATTATTTTGGGTAGTCAAAAAACTCCACTCTCGAGCTCAGGGGCTGGTGGGCCAGAGACTAACCAAGTAATTATGAAACAGTGTGAGAAAGGTGGAGTCAGTATGGCTGCATATAGCAGGGTCTAATTTAGCCTGAGAGGGGCAGGCAGGTCCCTAGAGAGGATGAAACTGAAACTATACGTGTACAAAAATGGACTGATGCATCTGTCATTGTCCCCTCATGTACCAAGTTTCCCAGGCTTCTTAGAACTCAGCAGAAACAGAGATGTGTGTAGGTGTGCAGCATAGCTCTGTGTATATTCTTTAGTGAAATTCCTCAGGCCTGATGGAAAGAGGCCACACACACACACACACACACACACAGAGAGAGAGAGAGAGAAAGACAGACAGACAGACAGAGGCAGAGAGACAGAGAGAGGCAGAGAGAAAAACAGAGACAGAGAGACAGATAGGCAGAGAGAGAGAGAGAGAGAGACAGACAGACAGACAGACAGACAGGCAGGCAGGCAGGCAGACAGAGGCAGAGAGAGACAGAGACAGAGAGACAGGCAGAGAGAAAAACAGATAGAGACAGAGAGACAAAGAGAGGCAGAAAGACAGAGAGACAGAGATAGGCAGAAAGAGAGAGAGAGAATGAGAGAGAACTACAAAGTAGCCAAACTGTTATAATTCTCATATGCTGTAAGCTTTCAGAATAGATGAAACTCACTCCACATCTTTCAGGGCAATCACTCAAAAGACTCCTGGTATACTAGTATTTCTCAAAGCAGTAAAACAAAAGGGAAATTGTCCTCAACTCATAAAGATCAAGGGGTTTGTGTTAACTTTCACTAATCTGCTTAATCACTGTTCTGTCTCCCAGCTTTTTCAAATTTAAGTTTTGTAACATTATTTTAAACTTTGGCTTAGAAAAGTCCAAAAAATAAATAAAAAACTTACCTTCCTTCACTTTTAGTTCATTGGCAATAAGTAGTACACGTCTACAATCTCAACACTTGGGAGGCAGAAGCAGGACAAATATTAATTTGAGGCCAGCCTGGGCTACATAGCAAGTCTCGGTCTCCTTAGGCCACCTAGCAAGACTATCCCAATGTTCTTGCACACATGTGTGTGCACGTATACACACTCACAATGTGGTACAACCGATCTTTAGAACCATTTTATACTACAAGACTGATCCGCTCTACCCATGAAACAACTCCCCACTTCTGCCCTAGCCCTTGGCAATTATGATTCTACTTTCTATTTCTTTGAATTTGACACTTTCCCTTGAACACAGGACTTGTCGCCTTGGAACTAGTTTATCTCATTTATCATGTTTTCAAGGTTCATTCATGTCATAGTCCATGCTCAAATTCCCTTTCCTTTAAAGTTGAGAATATTCTACTGAATGCATATTTTACATCTTGTTTGTTCTCTTATCTGTTGATGGAAACCAATTGTTTCTATCTCGTGACTATTGTGACTAACACTGCTAGGACCAGGGGGAATACAGCTATGTCCTCAAGACTCCACTTTCAATTATTCGGGATATGTAGCCAGAAGTAGAATTGATGAGTCATTTCATAGGACTCCCATAGTGTTTCTGCCTTCCCACTTAGCTCCTCCCTTCCTTTCAGAGGACAAGTCTATAATCTCCATTGTTTATAGGACAGAGCAGACACGGAAGACTACAGAAGGCCCCTTATCTTTACCTCCTGCCCATATAAAAGCCAACCCCTCTACCTTATGGAGAAGGAGGCCACTGTCTTCTTATGGCTTTTACCATATGGCAGGTGAGCAACAACCTTGCAGAGAGAGTAACTAAACCCTGGAACTGCCGGGGCACAGGTATGGCATTCATTGGCCCACACAAGAGCACTTCACTTGCTGGACTGCCAGTCAATCTTGGGTTGTGGTTGGGGGTTCCTCCATATGCCTGGGGACTTTGCTCCATTCAGAATCTCTTTTGGCTGATGAGACATCTTTAGCATAAGCCTCGATTCCCAGGAGAATCCTAATTCCATCAGGTTCCTTTGGACATCCCTTTTGGTGACACTCCATGGCTGATTTCTACTTATCCCTTCTCGTGGCTGGCAGACTCAGGACATGCCATTAGTGTCCCAAAAGGGAAGTTCTACTTTGACTTAGACAGAGATCAGAAGTCGGTGGGTTTCTCCTGGGGAAATAACAGTTAGCACCACTATTAGGGAGAATGAAGCGTTCACCTGGAGGTAAGTGAACTTGAACTTAGAAAGACAACCCTTATGCAATAAATACCACCATACTGAGACATTCGTTGTGACTGAACACGTTTTAAGAGTGGGACAAAATAAGGAACTGAATGTAAGTATTTAATGCGACAACTTTAGTTGCACACAAGAGGTTTTTTTCCTGCACAGCCCAGAGCTTGGAATCTTTTGGAAACCAAATATTTTCCAACATAATCTGATAAAGGCAAGAGGAAGGTGCAGGCTTTGATGTTCTGCCTAATCTACAGAAAATCTCGTAGTGACCATGCTGTAAAACACTCTGCTTCCAGGGTTAGTATACTGTCCTGTTAAGCCAGGCCTGATGCTTCTCAAGATAGTTGTTGTTGAGCCAACATCCTCAAGCTATGTGAGAAACTATTACAACTTGTACAACTATTTAGCATCTACAGCAGAAAAAACTAACATGGACAACTTAATGCTTACAATGGCTCTGAGGATTCTGCCCTCTATGTCTTATAATGACTGAAAATGTCATAGAATGAGGTTATAAATTATATTATATGTGATTATATTATATAATATAATTTATAACCTCATTCTATGACATATAATATAATCTTATATAATATAATTTATAACCTCATTCTATGACATTTTATATTATATTTATAATCATATTATATAATGTATTATATATGATAATACATAATATAATATATAACCTCATTCTATGAATACATATATTTATAGAATTTCTGCTTTAGGATGGTCCAAGTGCTAGGGATAGGCTTTACCCTGGGGAAACGTATCTGCAAGTCTTCAGTAGGAGTTCGCAAGAGTCCGATAGAGTAGGCATCTTCTCCTATGAACTGTGGTTTCCACGTTTGAAGATGCTTAAAGATGGGCATTTTTTCATTTAACCTAGCTCCTAAAATGTACCAAAGACAGTAATCTGCTTGGGCACTGTGGGAAAAGCTACTGCGCTGGAGTTTCCAGGAAAACACACCAGGCTGCAGCTGGAGGCCTCCTACGGGGGTGTCAGCACACATCTCATGTGGCTTTCTCCTCGCTTGCTGCCCGAACACTGGGACCTTTGCCCGCCAAGTCTGCTGAGGTCAGTTGTGTGACTCCATATTGCTCAGACATTCTGAAACTCAATATCCTTATTTGTGTATGGGGGGGTGTGCAAATTGAAGGAGAATGTCAAATCTCTCTCTAAACGTTTCTGATTTTGGTAGAGAAGAAGCTGTGAGCTCTACCTAGTAGAGGGACTAGTGAAAGGATGGGTAGGCTTTGCTGCTATTGTTGTTGTTGTTTTTCTATTCCCTCCTTGCACGTGCCTTCTAGACAAGCAAAGGTAAGATCTCAAGTGAAAATACCCATGAAGTAGCTTTAAGGTGCTGGGGATACTAGGTCCCGCAGCATCTGCTTGATGGTTCCTGAGGCATAGCCCAGTTGGATAGCCTTTTCTTTTTTCTTTTATTTGCCTCTTAGAAATGGTTGACTCGACATTAACCTTGGCTCTCTGTACCTTTCATCCCTTAATTCAAATCCTCTGCACCACGGCCGTATAGAGCAACATAGCTTGCTTAGCTTGCACGGCAGTAAAGGTTTTGGTACAGTGTTGTGTAAGCACATGGACACCTTAATCCTGGTCTCTGTAGCTGTGTGTGGTCTGCTGTGGGGTCAGTCTCCATGCTCTGGCGTGTTTTATGGCACCCGAAGAACCAATGTCCTGAGTGCAGCCATTGCATTTTGGTGAACTATGAATTATTCAAGCTATTTATAGGTCACATGGGGAGGGGGAGCAAGAGAGCCAGCTAAGGGCATTTGTCAACGCACATATCCTTCCTTTCTCAGTGAATCATAACCAACACAGCATTTATTGTAAATGTCTGTTGTCTTCCTAGAAAAAAATACCCCCTCAACTTGATTTTTCTCTCATCTTTTCCTCTTGCATTTTATTTTCAGATTAGACCTGACGCTCAGAGATAGTCATTTCTCTGCTACTAATTAGCTGAATGATCCTAAGCCCTACGTTTCCTGGTTTTATCTGTGTTAAAGAACAATTCTCATTTCCCCAAATATGCCCACATCCTTAAGCCTAGAAATCCGAGTTGGGTGTTACATGGCAAAGTGGAACTGAGGTTGCAGGGGCTGGGGGTTCCAATGGGCTGTTGTGGAGACAGGAAATCACCTTACATTACCCACATGCGCCAGCGGCACGCATGCCATCATCCAAGTCCTTACAAACGGAAGAGGACTACAGACCAGGTCAGGGTGATGTGACGGGATAAAAGTTAAGCCAAGCTTTGCTTACCTAGAAGATGAAGGGAGGGGATGATGAGCCAAGGACCATGAGTAGCTTCCAGAAGCTGGAGAAGGAAAGAAAATTATCTTTCTGATGGCTTCCAGAATGGAACACAACCCTTCTCATGCCTTCATGTTTACACACTGGACCTGGGGCCCAACTTTCTACAGAATTGTGAGATCTTTAATGCAACCGAAAATCTCTGACTTTGGAGTGGTTTGTTACAACAGCCATAGAAGAGGAACAGGCCTAAGAGCCAGTTAGTAAAATAATAGTGTTTTTTTTTTTTTTAAAGTAAAAAGTACCCAGGTAATGGAAGCAGCATAGACTGCAGGATACTTATCCAGTACTTGTTGTTACTGCCCCACTACCTTCCGTTCTCAGAGTCCCGAGAGCTGGTCCAATGGTGACTGCCACCAATCACTCCACGAGTGGGCCTGCCAGCAGCCACTCCGCCAGAGCCAGTCGACAGCAGGAGAAATCACAATGCTTTCAAATCCATTTGGTCAGGGCTGAACGCCTGCCAGTTTTCTGAAGGGATTTTCATTTTTAAATTAAAGTGATAGATCTACCTGTCTGTCTCTTTATGACTGTGGGAGCCAGAGTCTGGTCCAGGAGCCAGTTTTGCTTTCCCCGTGCATCCATCCCTGGTTCATTTGTGCATTAGAAGAGCAAACTACGTGCGTGCATCTCAGCTCTAAGGCACTGTAAACTTTTTTTTTTTTTTTTTAAGTCTGCAAGCTTTTAAGATTGGGAAAGACAACAGCCCACTGCATGGACACATCCAGCAAAGAGATGGTATTTCCAGCAGGGTGGAGAATAGATCCTGCAGTCTCTGGGAACCTTCTTTCTTGGCTTTTTGCCTAACCACCAGGCTCTCCACCCATCCCCTTCTTTTGCAGTTACCCCAATATTCCAAGAAATTGCTCAATTCGAAGGACTTTCAAAACTTTAAGTCAAACTCTGGTTCCATGTAACTTAGGTATAATCCACCAAAGGACAAAGTTCTCAGAAGAATAACTCGTCTCTCTGGAGTTATGCAAAAAAGATGTTAATGAGACATTTATAATTGAGGCCACACAGGCATAAAAGTCAGAAAAGCTTGGTTTATGGCCTGTACAGCTGTCGGAAGGTACCTGCCTCTCTCGGGATGTTTGAGGATTATCATAGAGGCGGTTAACCTTAAAACTAGGCTGGCTTTTTACTCCGGCTCCTCTGATCCGGGTCACACCCTACCGTTTGCATTTGTTATCTTTGGCAATGACAACAAAATGAGGAAGAGGAGCATCTTGACTGCCATTCAAGTGAATGCAGCTTTCACCTCACTGGTGGGTGGCAGAAGCCAAGGGAGCCAAGGTTGGCAATGGGTTGGATGGATTGTGGGATTTTTTTTTTTTTTTGGGTCTTCTAGATAGGTCAAATATTTCAGTACCCTTCATGCTATTAATCTATGTAGAAACGTGTGCATGCAAGATCAGCATTTCAGAGAAGGGTATAATTTTCAAATATTATTTCTCTCTCTTTTCACCATTAAGAAGCAGCAAGGTAAAAAGTCTGTGGCTGGTACTTTTTCCTTCCCCCAACAGCCTTTTCAGAGGGGCGTACTTATCACAAGGGACTACTCATTGCTCCTCCCTGTCTGTAGAAATGCTATTTACTCACTGAGTTCCATGTCTGAGACCCACAGAGGAGGTGAGACAGAGCCAATTGGATGAGCCAGAGAAGGAGCCGACAAAGGTGAGGAAAGATCTTGGAAACGAGCCAGACCTGGAAGGAATACGGGAATGGCTTACAACTGCACAGAAAAGAGAGGGGCTTTTGTGAAGAGGGCCAGCTTACAAGCCAGAGAGAGAAGGCAGAACATATGCTCTTCCCCAGGCCCTCTAGGACCCAGCCCTTGAGAAAGGACTTGATAATAGGAGACTAGAGACATTGAGACACAACGATTCTGGAGGCTGAGTCCAATTCCTTTTCTAGACAACCCCTACCCATTTTAACACAGAGTTTTCATCCATTCGGTCATTCTGTAACTCAAAGTTGATATATGGAATAAATGGGGACCTCTTGGCAACCCTTTCAACATCTCAGTCAGAACTCGAATTCTCTACAAAGGTCAATACATATCACACATAGGGCAGGAAGATGGTTTTACGAACACAGCATGCTAGAATATTTTACTGTCTTCATTTGGGGACAATGAGAAACCTGCAAGCTAAAAAGCTTTCAAAACACAGAAACAAAATGAAATCTATTTTGGAGTTGGAGTTCTTTGGGCAGAGGATTGTCTTTCCTTCCATCTGAATTTGACCTTGAAAAGCAGACATAAAACCTACAATACAGCTTCAAGCCTGGAGCAGTTGTCCATGGATCTTGATATAGTGACCCACCCCATGTCGAATTATTTGCTTGACTAAGAGCGGGTAATATCCAAGGCAATTTCTCAGATAAAATTTCCTCTTTACCAAGATAAATGACAAAATTCAAGAGTCAGAAAATTATGTTGTTCATTTTAGTGTTGGAGGGAGGGTGAAGGGGTAAATTCTGAGATGGGATAAGGCTACAAAAACATGGAAGTGCTCAGAAAACTGCTGTATTCATTATAGGTAATATTCCCACCCCCTTACTTTTAGAAGCTGCACTTATAATCAAGGCTTCAGAATTAGATCAGTACTCACTGGTTATATATTGTGTGTCTTCAAAGACTACCTGATGTCACAGATGTTACCCCAAAACTCAGCCTGGGAAACAACTGGAGCTGAGGTAGCAAGAAGACCAGTCCCCCCTTCTCCACTCTCGCAGCTCCAGCGTTGCAACATTACCCAGACTTGCCTCCCTACAGTGAAAACTGGAATGCACTGGCCCTTTGCTTCCAAAACAAACATGAGTTTAGCTTCCCAGCACTTCCCGTCTTCACCAGGTTCATTCCAGGAGCTTGGCTTTGAACAAGATGAAACATGCGCATAGCTGAAATCAACCTGGGTACTAAGGAAATGTTGAAAGAGGGCGCTTAAGTCTCAGGTCATCCAGAGAGTCCAGATTCATCCCACAGCAAATGTTGCTCTTCCGGTAAGCGGAAAGGAAGAAATAAGTCATCGTAGGTCTATATAAACTGTCTCAAACCAAGGAGCCAAGAGATAGAGGAGATGAGATGGAACGCTTTTTTTTTTTTTTAAAAAAAAAAAATTGACTCGTTAGGTGGATGAGTCTGTCAACTTTTATTTTATTTTTTAAAAAGATATATGCTTGTTTTTATTTTTAGCATTACCTGGTTGAATCTATTAGTTATTGGGTTAACATTGTTTCTCCTAAGATATATCTAAGATATAATTAGGATCAGAATAAAGCTTTCTTCTGCCAGAATGACCTGTTCGCTAAGATTCCCGGGAACATCCAACTGTTATGCACACGAACCCACTGTATTCCCGCAAGCCTTGTCTACACTATGTACCCACAAGGCCTCTCTGCACCATGTACCCACAATGCCTCTCTCTAATGTGTACCCACAAGGCATCTCTGCACTGTGTACCCACAAGCCTTTTCTGTCATCTTCACAGATAGAAGAAATTTGAGAGAGAAGAAAACCATGCTGTGTGCATTTGAGAAATTATGAGGACCCTTAGAGTTTTGGTTGTGGAAACCTTTGCAAGATGATTAATGCCTGATCTCAGTTCAAAACACACGAAGATGTATTTGGTGGAGACTCTCAGAGAGCAGCTGACCCTAGTCTCTTCATACTATAAATGGAGAAGTTGTGTAGGGGAGCATCGCGGCTTGTCCAGCATTTTCCTGGGGGTTGGATTTAGTTTTGCTTCCTACACCAGGGTTTCAATGACTCAAGAAGTCTACAAACAGATGTGCCCATATAGGAGACCCATGAACTGAGCATAGAGTCCCCGAGCGCGTGGGTTAGGTGGTTCCGGCTGAATTCAGTGCAGAGGTCACACAAAGGGCAATCTTTTGGCATCGATCGCTGCAGGAAAGTGACAGCTACAGAATTAGAATTCACCACTCCCTCAGGGCGATTTTTAAGGGCCCCATAAAGAATGGCCCATAACTTAGGAACAAAGCTAGCCTGCAAAATGTTCCTATTTTAAGATGTTGCCAGACATTTGGTGTTAGTCTATCCTTAATCTACAAGCTCTTGGTTCTTTACAAATTTCTTAACCAAAATCTTCAGTTCAGTGACAGGGGAGCTACCATATTTTTCTTCCTAGAGTCATATCTGTCCTTCCTGTGTACCCAAGGGTTCAGACACTATTGACAGGAGTGGAACTGTCATCAAGAGTTAATAGGAAGCTCCTGAATAGCAAGGAGCAGAGGGGTATGAGGCCCACTTGGATTTCCTGCTCGGTTCTAGACAATTAGCCTCACGGCCAATTACGGAGAAAGCTAGAAAGGCCAAGAGTTAGCTAGGAATGAATGCTGCGCCTAACACATATGTTTAGAAAACCATTACAGTTAGAAAGAGTATGCATATCAGATTGACTAAGGAAAACTAGCAGCCACCAGGATTATGACATTGCAGAAGGCTCTGAGGGAGTGGAGCCCGAGAGGATGAACTCAGGGTGACTTGTGAGGACAGCATAGATCTGGCTACAGAGAACTTGATCTTGTGTGGTTTTGGTTGTTGTTTTTTATTTTTTGTTTATTTTTACTTTTCTTTTTTACTTCTTTCTTTCTTTCTTTCTTCCTTTCTTTTGTTTTTGTAAGAGGAACTTCTGTTGCAGGAGACAAAAGGGAGAGAAAACCTAAGCTTATATCCACTACAATTTCAAAAAGCATTTGGTCACACATTAAAGTTGATCATGGTGAGGGTGAAATACCTTAATGTGAAGACAAAATACTTCCCAAACAGGAACCAGAACAGGGTAATAGCGGAGAAATGGGGTTGCTTTGACCCTTTTTATTTTATAAAATTATATGAGGAAACAAAGACTTTGGTTGTTTTTATGTTTCCTGGAGTTTGTTATCGTTGTTGCTGCTGTTGTCTTTGTTTTGTAAGAAAACACGAAACTGAAGCAGTATCAAAGGTCTCACAGAGTAAAACTCTGTGCTTTCTCCTTTCCAATTCTTCCTCGGATAGCTAGCCATGGGGTACTTTTGCTGCGCCAACACTGTAGGAACTTAGATTATGGGTGACTCCAACAGACACCCCCTTCTCCCCCGAGTCCCCCTTGGCACTTACATGGGCGTGGATGTGACATAGGCTCTGTCAATCATGTTATTTAATTACAGCATAAGAACCTAGATCAAAATATAACTCAGTTCCTGGAATTCTGCTACAGCCCACCTTCCAGTGCTTGTCACAAACATCATCTTCACAACCAGAAGCCGTAAGGCAAGGCTTCTTGAGGTCTTTTGTTTCCAAGTTAGGATTAAGGTCACATAGTGTGTCCATGTAGACAGAGCAAAACATAAAGGTTCCAGAAAACAAGAATCATGACATTTCTTTTGGTTCCCACATCTCTGAGTCATAAGTTACAGGAGACCACAGAGACGGTCACAGAAGAACCTCAGAAGTGGGTGATAGGTTGTCACTGATAAGATAATGACAAGTCTGCTCTCATGGCAGCTAGAAGTAGGCAGCACGGATGGGATTGAAGGCTGCCCAGTGCCAAAAGAGGGGTACAAGAAAATACATAGAATTTTACATTTTTTAAAAAAAATCTATAGATTGATAAAGTGACAAAGATTCTCATGGATCTGTGGAGGGTTTGGGGATGCAGGTTTCTTAAAGAGACAGTGAAGACATCTGAAGTGCACAGTGCCAACTCTGGGAAGTTTAATTTGCAGCAGGTTGATAGAGGATGGAGTCTTTAACAAGCAGTATTGTCTAGGAGGCAGATCCAATTGTCTGGGAGGGAGAGCATGCTGGTGTGTTATCAAAGGCTGAGTTACACTCTTAGTAGACAGAGGAGAATTTGATAGACGATGTTGAGCTATCAGCTCTAAGGGGGCAACACAGGAGAGCACTGAATCTGTCTTCAAAGCATTTGTTATTAAGAGAAGAATGTAGACACACTTCCCGATTCCTCTAGAAAAGCAGGTAACAACGCATGGCCTGTGAGATTAGAGCAGACACAGACAGGCCTGATTTCCACCGAACATTTGCTCGAGCCATGTAAGCCTTGGTAGAAATGCTGTGTCCAAAGGCATCAAAGGCATGGTAGTTGAATATGTGTCTTTCCTCTGTTCTTTCCTCTCATCTGTGTTATGCTCCTTGCACACACACACACACACACACACACACACACACACGCACACATGCAATGAGGAGCGGACCTGCATTTATAGTACTGACTGCAGGGAGATTCTCTCTTACAAGTAATCCATTAAATCTCAATTCGCGGCTGTTCATAGCTGTGCATCAAAAGCCCAGTGATGATGGACATGTTCTGAGAATCTGTGTGTGTCATAATCAAAGCCATAGGTGTGGGGACTAAATGTGGGGTTCGTGATGGATATTCTTGGACTTGCTGGGTATTTTAGCGTCTTCTGTGGCTAAGCTGTCTTTACCAGGTAAACCCCATTCCCTTCTGTGTGTGTGTATGTGTGTGTGTATGTGTGTGTGTGTGTGTGTGTGTGTGTGTGTGTGTGAGAGAGAGAGAGAGAGAGAGAGAGAGAGAGAGAGAGAGAGGATAAAAAGCAGACATGACATTGATCTGCTTACATAAGGAGTTTTCTGGTTTCCAGGTATGCCTCTAACAAACGTTTGTATCAACTCCAGAATCAATCTACCCACAGTGCTCTCCTTGTCTTGAAATTACTCTTCAGCCACTGCTTATCATTTTCTTGTGACTACTTTTGAATACGGAAAACTTTCTGCATGTGTCAAAAGTGAGTCTGCCCTGAAATGCACATTACAGCTATGACTGGCAACCTCGCCTAGATTCCAAGTGTGGAAGTGATTTGGAAAGCTGGGATGGCTCTTCTTGGCTGTCAACTTGACTACATCTAGAATTAACTAAACCCAAGTTACTGGGTATACCCGTGAGGGATTTTTTTTTTCTTAATTAGATCATTTGAACTGGGATGACCAAGCTTTAATCTGGACCTTTTGAAGTGGGAAGATTCATCACAAATCTGGGCCATGACTTCTGACGGCAGCCTATAAAAGGGAATTTGAAGAAGGAAGCTTTCGCTGTTTGCCTGCTTGACTTGGGTCTCACGGGCAAGTGCATTCCTTCACTGGCATTAGAGCCTACTCTGTTGGGACTCCAGCACACACCGAAGAGCAGCTGAGACATCCAGTCTTATGGACTGAACAGCTACTTGATTCTTGGACTTTCCATGGGTTGACAGCCATTGTTGGACTAACTGGACCCCAACCAGTAAGCCACTCCAATAACTCCCTTATGTATGATCTAGATTCAGAATGTCTGGGGTATATTCTCTGTGCTCTCTGTGTTCCATAACAAAGGTAAACTGCTCATGGAAACTTCTAGTTGGTGCATTTTCTCAATTACGTGTTCTTCCCCTGTGGTAGCAGGGACAGCACAGTTGAAAGGAGATGCTGTTTCAGGTGCACGCTGTTTTATTAGGAACAATTGGAAGTTCAGGTCTTGAAATCAGTGGCAAAGAAACTGTGAGCCAATTCCCTTCTTTTAATTCCTTGGGTCACATCTTCTTAACAAGCAAAGAATCGGTAGAGGTGCCTGAAACCAGAACCCCCACATTATTTCCTTCTAGCTATATAGAGTATGAATATGATGCTCAGAACAAGGTCAGCCCAAGCATACAAGTTTCTCTTCTTCTCCAAGTTAGTGTTGTGAGAGAGTGGTGAGAAGACCATAGCTCCAACACTGAAGTGGCTGAGCAGCACTTCTAGTCTACAGGAAACTTCCCTTGCTCCGCGTTGCCGGACCTCCTGGAAAGTCAAACTCAAATGCCAAAACCTCGATTTTTCTTTTAAAGTCGGGAATCTCAAACCACAGCAACACCCAACAGGACTCGCAGGGACACAACCTATCTTCCAGCATCAGGCTCTGAGCAGCAGCAGCCGGCAGTCAGGAGACTGGAGCCCTGTGCTCGTGTAAGCTGCCAGGTGTTTGTAACTGTTACAGAAAGCCTCTGTGTGCCCTGG